ATGATCGACGCGGCCGACGACGGGTTGTACGTGCCCGAGAGGTCGCAGCCGGCGGCGTCGACGTTGGCGATGGCCGCAGCGACAAGAAGCGCGATCGTCGTAACGATCTTCATATTGTCAGTTGTGCAAGACGAGGCGAGTTGTGGAATGAGCTATTCGAGACGCCAATTTGACAAGATCGGAGAGGATTCGTGATGCGAACAGTGTGGTTCGGGAGCACCAGATGGTACGTTGATGGACGTTGCATCGGCCTGTACATATGCACGCAGAGTCTCATGTATCACCTGGATCTCGAACGATGACCGACGTGCCGCTTGAAGATCCTTTCATTACACATTGTTCGAATCGTTGGATTACCGTAGCGAATGTGGAGGCTGAGATGCTTTTGTTGCTTCTGCGCGCCGTCCTGCAGATGTAATGACGTAGAATTGGTATAGAGAAATGGCGTCTCGTACGAACAAATATTCAGGTGTGCTAGATATACGCCCCGTGTGTTTTGTCTGACTATGTACGGCTCTCGTAAGCGCATAAGCTAAAACCGTAAAATCTTTTTCTTCAGTCTTATTGTTGGGTCTTATTGTTCAGTCTTATTGTCGGGTCTTATTGTTCTGTCTTGTTGTCCTGGTGCCCTGTAAAGGCGGCCGCCGAGCAACGATGACGCGCGCCCCGTAGTTTGCCGTACGTTCGTGTACTGCCATGTATCTGTGATGGATCTCTATTGACAATTGCTGAGGCGCTTGTTTGCCAACGGAAGCCTGCACATAAAGCAGTACCGGTAGTGAGCAAAGAGACAGTTGGGTGCCGTTGTCGTACAAGCAATGCCAGTAGAGTGCGCTAAATCAAAACGTGTCGAGACAATGTTTAAAAAAGCTTTGAGACTGACAGAGGTAGCAACGCTAAGAGGGTGTCCGATAGCAGAGCACCCGCTAGCACCCGTACAAAATAGCCGTTTAACAAATCCGTTTGACATGCACCCGTGCACGGTCTTCTATGCCAAATGCGTTTCTGAACCGGTGCGGAGCGTGTCACACATTCCCAATCATTCTCAAAACGAGCGGTCGGCGAGAGACCAGCGCCGTCCATCAACGTACCATCTGGTGCTCCCGAACCACACTGTTCGCATCACGAATCCTCTCCGATCTTGTCAAATTGGCGTCTCGAATAGCTCATTCCACAACTCGCCTCGTCTTGCACAACTGACCAATATGAAGATCGTTACGACGATCGCGCTTCTGGTCGCTGCGGCCATCGCCAACGTCGACGCCGCCGGCTGCGACCTCTCGGGCACGTACAACCCGTCGTCGGCCGCGTCGATCATCAAGA